GCGTCGCCCTTTGGGACCCCCATACGATGGACTTTATAAAGTCATTAAACGTATGGATGAGTTGTTTGTCTTCGGCAAAATGCCGCGAAGACGCCATTGGAATTGACCATCTGAAACTGGCTTGCTTAGAAGGCAATTCCATGATCCTAGAACCAAGCATTCCCAACAATGCACAAGTAACCGAATATCCGTTAGTCCTTGAAGAAGTCACCAGAATGGCGAAAGCCACCGAACCTGCTATTGAGACCTCAAAGAAAACGCGTTCTGGAAGAAACGTGAGATTTCCAGAATATCTTCACACTTATGTCACATAACTTAGTGATGCGATTCACCTAATTATTATTCGCTTGTGGTATTTATTTTTTGCTTTCAGAAACATCAGTTTTTATATTGCATCCTGCAACACATGTCAAAAACGTTTTATAACCGTACATGTTACATCCACTAAAAAAATCAGACATATACTTTTTACGATTCTCTGTTTTTCGAATTATTTTTTGTATGGTGGCTGCATATCGTCATTCCAACGTTATTTTTGGTACATATTCCAGAACAAGGTTCTTAGCATTCTTGTTTTCCTTTCCAGGTGCAACGGGCACTGGGCAGGAAGCAAACAAAGCACGAGATCCAACGGACAAATATAAACAAAGCGATGTGCAGATACCCTATTAGCATAGGTAAACGACCAGTAGGCACTACATCAAGCCGTTCGGAAGAGTTTTTACCGATGGGATACCATTGGGATTTTACCTCTGGCTGGTTTTGTCTTAGGGTCCTCACAACCCCACTAGAGTGGGAGCGAGCTGTAGCGGTGAGTAATTTCCCGTAATTATTGGTCACATCATTCATCACTGAAGATTGGATGCTGACCCTCACTGCTTTAGTCGATTTGTGTAGCCTTAGGCTTCCGGTCAAGCATCCACGCCATTTGGTACTCCGTTGTATCACGTTCGTTCGTTCGTGCACTATCCCTAGCCATTTAAGCAATCATCTCGCACTCCGATTTGGTCCCGAAATATATCTCGTAATTTGGACGACCAATTCTAGTGTTTTTCTTTGCCTTTGGTCTACGCGGAACGAGTACTACATAGGTTGTGGGTATTAGATCTTGCGTTGGTATACTTCGTACTATCGTTGAATGTCAGTAGCTTTAGTCTCTAAAGATACGAGGCAGAAAAGATAGTAATATGGAAGAACAATATATTTTTTAATGGATATTTTAAGTCACAAGGAGTAGATGCATCCGCGCCACTGAGAGCGATTTTGAGCTACATCACCAATTATCTTCAGCCTTTGTTGGTTTTTACCGTACCGAAGAGCACAACCAGACAACAAGCCAATCTAAACCTCCCTGTGTTGCTTAAACAAGCCGCTGTGGAATAATCGATGCTAGATGAATTATCTGGAAAACAAATGAGAAGGATCAAGTCGGTTGGGAGCTTACAAATTTCCATTGTCGATTTATTCTAAATTAATACAGCTGTAATGTCATCATTCGGTCGATGGAATGGCTAGTAATATTAGTGACTTAAACTATGACCTCTATGTCAATATTACTTTGATATTTGGTTCGGGCACTATGAAGACAGCCCTTAAATAAATTTCGCTGGTTAAGATGCTTCGTGGAATGTGTTGCCTACTTCAAAAACTGGGTCCATCTGAAACTGGCCAGCAGTGAAGCATAATTCTGTCATATAACACATGTGGTCACCCCTTTGATGCTCCACCCCAGACATTGTGATTAAACGCATCCATCAATTTTCGATGTTGCGGCTTTAAGGCGATCATAAATGAAAACGATTTTCTCACGTCGGTAATGTAATTCACGAGTGGGAACCATATAAATTGAGAGCTTTGGCGGACGACCAAGTTTAAACACGAAATATCTTCTGCAACTTACTATCACTGAAAGTCGCCGAAATGTGAATGGGGTTGCCGGAGTGTCTGGGAGAAGACTGATAGGGACCAGCTTTACGTCATCTCTAAGTGGAGATTGTGCTTGATACAAAAGTCTGACAATCTTTCATCCGAATACTATTTCAAATATATTCGGACGATAAGATCAGCAAGAATTACTTACATCTCACTAGACACCCCATATTTACTTTTAATTACATGTAACCAGATGTCACCTCGTCCTTTCATCATCTCAGTTGCTCACAAGATATCAACCGAATTGTAAAAACACTTGCATTATCCTGCTTACACTAGGATAATTTTCTGTGTAAGTGCTATTGATGCCAACACTACAATACTGTCAGTTACGGAGATAGCTATGAACCGCTACCTTTCTTGATGATTCTGGATGAGTATGATACACCTAACAGTGAGAATTTATTAGTGTTTATATGAGTGATCATCCGGAATGTTCATAAATCGATACACATCAAATGTCATGATTATGACTAGTCACAACTCTGGTTGAAACTGGGGAACCCTCTCTTCAGCGGAATTTTCAAACTGCAGTCAGTGCATGCGGTGGTCGTTCATCAGTAGTAAAAAAGATTTGCACAACGTACTTTTGTAGCAACTTCCAGACAGCATTGTGGTGCCTTTCAGAGGAATGAACTGTCATTGTTTTCACTGAATGATGTATGTAATCAATTTCAAAACCCATTATGTTTGACGAAATGTGTGCACTTTCCATATGTAATCCTAGATACTTCAGTGTTCTTACTGTATATGAAACCGTAAAACCAAGCTGAAATGAAACAAGAATTCTGCCGTCCAAAACAAAGGTCACCCATTTAAACCAGTGGACTTGGTCAAAACTTAACTGCTATGCTTACCAATTCCAATCTCGGAAAAGAAGAATGGTTAGCCGTAGGCGACCTCTGCCCAAGAGGAAAATTCTGTGGTTTCTGAAAATTTAGGAAGCAGGAAAGATATGAAAATCAAATTCCTCTGTTAGAATCGAAGAGGGTGATTAACGCTGGTTTTAGAAAGCCTTTGGGAAGCCAGTCAACCTGTATCACATTCCTATGAAAGCAATGTTTTGCACATAGATATGAAATATCTCCATTGGGCTTGTGACTCTGGGTAGTCGGCTCAAACAGTGGAAGAAATCAGAAGATAATATAGCGTGCACCTTCATGGCATTAAAACAGATATGGGGATAAAATTAATACATCGGTTAGAATCAACTTAATATTTGTAAAATAAACGTTCAGCATGCTACAGGCATTTTGGTTTCTGCTCAGACGGGGATACATTCTAAATGTTCCGAAGTCACTTTGCCCACTTTTATTCGGTTATTAGCGCGCGGTTGTTAGTCCTCGGTTGAGTGACTAAAGGATGGAGAACTTTTAGTTGACAATTTGGAGAGACTTCATCTCAATTTCAAGACAGTGCCGACGCAGCCTAAAGGGATAGAAGGTCTAGAGGAGGATGGGATGTTGACTGTCCTGACGCATAAGCAGCTAGGCAACAGCTTTAGTGTTACCGCAGACACTTATAGGCCTCGACAGATGTATGAAGACACATGTCAATTAATTCACAACAGAAAGCTAAAAGAAAAATTCGAGGAGGGGATAAGAGTACGACATGGTTATCCGCTAAGACTGATCTTCTTCTTGACTGTGATGGAGTGTATCCCAGAGCGGACTTTGAGCAATGAGGGAAAGAATATACGTTTGAGTGTCAAAACCACCTCTGGTGATTGATCACAAAAATTGCCGTATTGTCGAAATGTTCTATGCTGTTTCTTTGTATTTACAGTATGAGCAGGGAATCAGTAATTGTGCAGAATTTGAGTTTCTGATTTCTTTTCTCTATTTCGTTGTTTGGCTTTCTAGTGTTCACAAACCGATAATATAATAGTATGTAAATCATTTTGGAGGACTATTGTCCCACAAACTCGAAGATTTACAGTCGTATATCAACAACATGGGAAAAGAGGCAGAAAATTTTTTTCCGAATACAACTAAGGAGTGGGCGGGGATGCAGAAGGTTTTTTTTAATATAAAGTCCAAGTGTAGATATATAGCGCCTAGCAAAAACTAATCGGATTTTCAGCATCAGCGTTGACTCACTGCTTCTTAATAGTTGAAATGCTTCATGATTCTGCAATGTATATCAATCCAGACAGGCTGCAAAATTCATCAACAGACGCTTTCTTTCGATATTAAGGATATAGGATATGGACATTTTTACTCCAAGAACCACCCAGGAAACTTCTTTCCAGTAAATATAAAGAAGGAATTGGAGGTGTATTTGACAAGTACTGGGGAGAGAGTTGAGTAACACCACACCCCTGGGCGAAAGTGGAGCACGAATCGGAGGTAACAGTTTTGCAGCAGAGGGTTCACTGAACAAATGAAAGCATGTGAGCAGTCGTGGATCAAGTTAGAGATTAGGGCAGAGGACAGAATAGAGATGTGCTATTGAAGCCCTGTGTTTCAATTGGAAACCATGCATGTGTACTTAATTAACTAGAAATCATACAGGAATGGAAGAAATTAACGGAGTAACTCACCGAAACTGAAAGGATTCTTGGCTCAAACAGCTGACTTAAAAAGTGAAGGCCAGTACCCAGTTTTGTGTGATGGACGCTGTGCACCGATTCTTTGGGGAATTATTGACTGATTCATTTTCAAAATAAATTGATGTCATACCTGCCAATAGTTTGCCAGGACAAGAGTTTTTGGGATGGGTCACAAATTTACGACCTTTTGAAGTCTGTCGTCAAATAGTTTTACAAGCTCGTTACAAGTTGGTCGGTATTAGATTGACACGTGTTCAATACAGACTCTGTCATCTACTGCGCTAAAAGGCCTTCAATCATCATACATGCAAAAATGAAAGAAAAAATCATTACAGAATTTCAATAAATTAATTTGTTGTTTGATTTGTTTTAAGTTTTTTTTCTAACTTGCGGAGATTCAAATCTTCCCAGGTCATGTGGATTAACCTTTAGGTGAGTTGTGCCAGTACTCTCACGACCTCTGCTTTCAAATGTCACATTATAGTCTAAAATAAATACACCATCATAACAATTAATAATGGGGCAATTACATAAGCTGGATAACAGGATACAGATAATGTTGAAGAATGGTATTATTCAGAGACATAGGTCAATGTTTGTCATGGTTGGAAACAAAGGTCAAGACCAGGTAAGCGGACCTGACCTATGACAAGTCGATTTTTGCATAGGTTCCAATCATGCACCAAATTCTCAATACACTGTTCAATAAAGGACGGCTGAGTTTATTATGGTGCTACAAAAAAGAATTAAGCTTCAGCACGTAAGTAGTTTTTTCATTATAATAGCCTTAGTCATCGAAAGAAAAATCTCAAACTGTTAAAGTACGTTGGATTAAAACCATTTTGACATTTTGCTCAGTAAAAGACGCAAGGCAGGTTTGACTTCCGATGCCACCATTTTTGAGCAGTTTATCTGCTCTACTGATATACGTTGGTGTTATTACGATGAATCCCAGAAAATCCTTGGACAAACGTTTGATATGTGCGTACTGCAGGACTTCGAGGCTCTCACACCGAACATATTGGCGCGAACCATTGAGACAGTATCTGGTGGAGGTCTAGTAGTACTCCTACTAAAATCTATGACTTCACTAAATCAGTTGTGTACAATGGTCATGGTAAGTTGTTATACGTGCTGTTATTTTGGCAGGATGTTCATTCGCGTTACCGAACAGAGGCTCAACATAATGTTGTTGGTCGTTTTAACGAAAGGTTTTTACTGTCTTTGGCTAGCAATCCGCGGTGTCTTGTATTGGATGACCGCTGGAATGTACTACCCTTGTCTAAGAAAGTACTTAATTTGCTCAAACCATTGCCGACTGAAATTCAAGAATCTGTTTCATTAGAACAAAAAGAGTTGCTCAAGCTTAAGGTATGTTTCTTAATTTGGAATTTGTTTTTTGAAAATTGAAAATTCTAATAAAGTTTCCTGTCCTGTTCGTAATCTCAGTAAGCAAGTACTAGCAAGCATCTGAACCTATAGATAGTTACCAGTGGACGGAGGGATCGGAATGACAACGAATTCGCTCATTATTAATCCTCACTTCGAGGGAACCAGATAAGCTTTAATAATAGATTTTATGATAGTAAGTCTGTAACGAAATGCCGAAAGTGTCCAATAAAAGACTGATAATACCGAAGAATTTCGGCTTTTGGATATTTATATATATTAATCTATAAAACCCCTACATGCTATTTAAAAACATGAATCTTCTTCCTAGTTATGAAATAATCAACACTAAGTGTGTTTCTTCTCCTTACGCAAACATTCGAATTCGATAAAATTATGCACGGTGTAATTTTTTGTAATATGTATGGTAAACCTCTTTGCCTAAATTCGATTTCACAATAGTATTCGTGCAAGACAACTAATAATTTATTAAAATTTATTAGACTGCATCTAAAAGAAATAATACAAGTTTTTAAGTGTTGTTCCATGAGTAGCAATTTGAGAATGTTATTTAGCTCAAGACATTTTATGTGGTTAAGCACTAGTGTTTTATTAGTGAGACGTAAGTTTGAATGTTCTACTTACGTTGTGTGTTACATCGTGATGCGCCGTCCTTCCAAACTTATTAATCCTTGTTCAGCTTTCATATCTTCATTTTTTAAAATGTTTTCCGACTCTATGTTTTGGTTTTTTTCTATCTAGTGAAAATTTTATAGTCCCTTATGATGTCTGAAATCCCAAAAGGTTGCGTAATTGCGAATGTTGCGCAGAACATATTTTCCTACAACTAGTTTTATTTTTAGGTTAGTTATAAGGTGTTTTCAATACAAGTGAGTTATGTAAAATATTTCTACGGATATGCAGCAGGGGTTCCATATTCAGGACTGCACGTGACTTTTACTACGTTTGTTAGTAGTATTTCAAATCTCATTTTATTTACCAAATATGAGCGTCCTTAACTTTGTTGATAGTAGTTTGAGTACTAACCAGTTGTGTTCTTCATTGATTATCAGGTCTCCTTAACTGAAGATGGGTCTCCATTTGCTCCACTAATCAAGTTGTGTGTAACATTCGACCAGGCTAAAAGCCTTGTCCAATTTTGTGCTTCTCTGGCCTCAACTTCACAGTTACCAAATAAAAGCGGTCAAACTACGAAATCTCCGAGTGCCACTCATTCTCTTCTTATGTCAATCGGAACTGAGAAAAAACAAGTGAGTTCTTCAGCAATTGTCGTCGTTACATCTGGTAGAGGTCGAGGAAAGTCTGCCGCTCTGGGGTTGGGTTTAGCTGCTGCTTTTGAAACTGGCATGCCTAACTTATACGTTACTGCCCCAAGTCCAGAGAATCTGAGCACACTTATGCAGTTTGTTATAAATGGTCTAGTTGCCTTTCAATATGAAGAACATCAGGATTATACCGTCAGTCGTTCGTTGAATCCAGAATACAATCAAGCCATTGTAAGAATTGACGTTTATCGACAAAACCACAGACAATCTCTTATATATTTACCCCCATGGGAACTGGCTGCCCTTTCAACAGTTAAACAAGCTGATCTCGTATGTATAGATGAGGCTGCTGCTATTCCTTTACCTCTTGTTCAGTCAATTATCAATGGTCCAAGATTCGTGTTCATGGCATCTACTATAAATGGTTATGAAGGCACTGGCAGGTCTTTGTCGTATAAATTACTTCGTCAACTTAGGGGCCAATGCACTTTGTCAGAAACTACAGTGCAATTGTCAGTTGGTAATGAAAAAAATCAGTCCCTTCAGTCAAAAGACCAACAACAGAAGTTATTGGGAAGAGGCTTCCAATCAGGTAAGACTGAAAATACTTCTCTGATGGTTCGCTGAGGTGATGAATTGTTATTGTGTAGATTAAAAGCTTATTAACGTAAATGATGAAATTTAATTAAGTGATCTGTAACAGTACATCAATATTATCATTTATTATCCTAGGTCATTCCACTTTGTAAAAGAAAGCTTCACATAAGCGAAAATTTCTAGAATGCTTACGATGACAAATTATGGCAAATAACTTAAATACGAGCTGTAGACACAAACTGGTTAAATACACAATATAAACACTGGTAGGAAAGGCCAATCAGTAAAAAGTCATGGGTATGGCATCCAGGTTATCTGCAAGGCAAGTCTAAAATCCCCTGGAGAATACGAATTTGCATTGCTCAGTAATAAAGCGAGAGATTCGAATATGTCTTCATACCGTCGCTAACTTCCTCTACACACCAGTTAATGTACATAAATTAATTAAGGGATCAACACCATTGTGATTATGCTTTCTTGTGTGTTTGTACCAAAATCCTTCATTCATGTAAACAAACTTGTCACTAAATTGAGTGACACGACACCTCTGCAAAAGTGTACAACGGTTGGTCGGTGGAAAATACATGCAATTACCTCGCCGCAAGCGAATTTTTACCTCAAGATTTAACGACATATTGTCCTGATGTTTTGCCGTTTAGTTTTTGTAGTGTTACCGAATACCACCCTTTTGAGTTCAAAAAGCCAATGCATTGGTAGGCTACTGCATATATACGTATATACTTATGCATCTGAGCACGCATATAATGTTTCAAAGTTTACGTAAAGAAATTTCATCCAAGCAGCGACAAAAATATTGCATCGGTTTTGTTAAATGAAAGCAACTAAATAATAGTATTTCATCCGTACACTATGAGATATATAGTTATTTATCAGTTTACCACGTTACTGTTTCGAGTTGTTCACAAAATAATCATATAGAAAGTAGAGACGAGCAACATTTTCAGTCGGAATAAGTTAAAATGAGTTCTGCGATATCTTATTCTCCTCCTTAAAAGTTGAAACTGTCATAAAGTTCTAGATATTGCGAAGTTTTCCTGGACTGACAGCTGGGATGATATTGATTGTTAAGTATACTTATAGAATTTCTTTTCGATATCTTCTTATAAATAAAGATTGAGAAGTAAATACAATGAAATTATGGATCTAACGACTTGAAATTTATTTTCACAAATTTTCATTGAGGTTGTGTTTTTTATCAAATTATCTAACTCCGGTTAGCCCTCACGGTCAAAAGACACTGGAATACATAAATTATTCATGTCCTATGTTTACACATATAATTTTCTATGAATTCTGATAGAAATGTGTCTTAACATTTAATTCAGTTGAAAAAGGCTACCCATGCCTAACCTTCCTACACATAAGGCAATGTTTCTGTTACGGTGTTTTATAAATAGTTGCCTAAGCGTAGTGTATACCTTTTAAATTCACAATTATTGTTGTTTAAAAATCAATTGAATTAAATTTCGACTATTTTGTCGTTACTTTGTTCAAGAAATGGAACACTATTCATATTTGAGCAGAAATATCTTTAATGGTAATCAAAACGAGTAAATACTGAGTAAAATATTAAAAAATAAATTGGTCTTTTTTCTCGTATTCACTGCAAGTTGAGAAACTTCTCAACTTCTGTAACTAACTTATCTGCATATAAAGCCACTAGTTATCTAATGAAAACATGAACAATTGAAAGTTCCTTCTAATCGGCTTTAGGTGAATATGTCGGACAGGTAAGGTGTTTGAAAAACTGGTCAGTAATCTTATCCACCTAGAAATATTAATGTCTCTTTGCCTGTTGATTTCATTAAATTGCTATAATTAAAGGATGTGTTAGATAATCTTCTGTCATGTCTAGCCTCATATTCATATTCTTTGATTACTTTAATACTTCGTGATTCTAAACTGAAAAGATATTGATTTTCGTTTCACAGTGAATACTTCGCGTGTTCTTTATGAAGTAAATCTTAAAGAAGCTATTCGTTTCGCAAATGGGGATCCAATTGAGACATGGTTATTCGATCTATTATGTTTGGATTGTGGTGAATCTCTAACTGATAACAAACGGACCAACGAGACTGATATCTACCTTCCACCTGTTGATTTGTGTCAATTGTACTATGTCAATAGGGATACTTTGTTTGCCTACCACAAATCAACAGAAGTATTTTTACATCGGCTTATGGCCCTTTACGTTTCTTCTCATTATAAGAATTCTCCCAATGACTTGCAGCTACTTTCAGATGCACCTGCACATCATATTTTCTGTCTTTTGGCTCCTTACGATCCCAAATCTGGGTGTGTACCTGAAATACTCTGTGTCCTTCAAGTTGCTCTAGAAGGCAAAATAAACAAGGATAGGATCATGCATAATCTTTCGCGTGGTTTACGACCATCTGGTGACCTTATCCCGTGGACACTGAGTCAACAGGTATGCTTTCATAATATACGAGAATACTTTTATCGTTTATCATTTATTGGTTATTCATGTGAGTTCGCGTTATAGATAAATCTATCTGTTCGCTCTCAAATGTACGCGTGCGTAAATTCAAACACCTTTTATTTTCAATTTCGTAGTAAATTCCCCACTGGTAATAACAACAAAATGTGAATTCGACTAATGACGAATGGGTTATATTAACTAAAACACTTAGTTAAGAGGAAATTTAATCGTTAAAGTCACTTGTTTCAACACAAGTGCTATTCATATGTAGAGAATAGTATATATATTCAAATTAACATCTTGGTTTATGACTAACTAGTTGCCTGACGGACTTCGTGCATGTTTTGAGAAATAGGTTTTGATCAAGGTTTAGAAATATTCGTAGTTACTATCAGACAATCAGTACGTGAGCATTATCGAGTTCTTGTTGTTTATCGTGACCCAAACGTATTAAATTTTGCTGACTTTGGTATCAAATGGTGCTGATAAGAGTAGAAATAACTTTTAGAAATTATGTGTATCTAACGTACTTTGATTGCATCAGTCGTGTTAATAGTTTTTCAGGCTTAATTGTCAAGTCTGGTTCCTGGTTAAATTTAACCAAGAAATATGTATTTCAACCAATTGGGATTGTATTGAATTTAATTCCATATTAGTTTTCACGATAGATTCTCATTCTTCAATAAGCTGTGTCTGAATTCGACTACGTAATTAAGCAAACGGAAATAATAAGAGATAATTACAACAGTCATACATTTATGTTTAACAAAAGCTCGTTGTTTACAATAAGACCAGTCAGTTACTGGACAGAACTTTGGCTTCTTGAGACTTGTAAAGATTACATCTAATGATTAGGGATTTTATAATTATTATTTTGCCAGTGATAAGCATTGTTAATACACTGATAAATACCAGGTTGATTGGATTGATATACTGGTAACAAGTAAATAAAGGTTTTTCAGTTGAAAACATGTATGTTCATTGAATCGATAAAGTCGGGGAAGAAGACTAGCAGTATGGAACCGTTTACCGTAGAACTTGATTTCCAGTCATTGGGTCACCTGTTCAAATTGTGACCCATGTACTCTGGTTGTGTTAATCGTCTTGTATCGCAAGCACCCATTATGTAAGGCTAATGCAGATTTCATAAAAGCATCATAAGTCATAGAGTTCAAACGAAATTAGGACCGTTAGTAAACTTTAATTTTACGGTTCATTTAAATTGTTTGTAGAAAACACTCACATTCTTCTTTGATGAAATTACTAATGTGTTTTACTGATACTTTTTCTTTCTAATAGTTTTGTGATAACGATTTCGGAGAATTATCAGGTGCCCGGATTGTCCGAATTGCTACTCATCCCGACTATCAAGGTCTTGGCTATGGAACCAGAGCTCTCAAGCTACTTTATGAATATTACAGTAACCAGATGGTAAGAGTTCAAAATTTTCGGTTCTGACTGTTTCTGAATAAAGTCAGCTAATCAAATTCCTTCAATTTATTTCTTTTAGGAATTTAAAGCACCAGTAGAAAACTCCAGCGATGATCATAAACAAGTAGATCACAATAATTCTGAAGAAGAAACTGAAAATGTCCGAAAACATCCTTCGAAATTGAAGTCAGTTCATTCCACCATTCCCACTAATTTAGAGGAAACAAACAACGATGATCAAAATGATTCGGATGACAGTTCAGAATCAAATGATATAAGTCTTTGCGAGAAGAAAGAGTCGAATCTCCTCACGGAAACAATTAAACAACGTGAACCTTCGAGTCTTCCACCACTTCTTAGTCGCCTAAATGAACGCCTTTGTGAAAAACTTGACTATGTTGGTGTTTCATTCGGTGCTACACCTAATTTACTTAGATTTTGGAAACGTTCAGGTTATGTACCGGTATATCTTCGTCAAAACGTGGTATGTTTTTTTTCTTTGTTTCCGCTTATTTTGGTATTTCTTAGAAGGGTGTAATAACTGTATTATCAATTATACACCAGTTCATAAAAACTGTCAAGAACTTCAAGCAGTATTATGTGAATCTGCATCATCATTCAGATCTTCATAATTAATTAAACAAACTAAACATATAAGCATAGAATACTAAATTAAAATGTCTCACGTAAAATCATTCACATTTTAGAGTTATGCTTTTCATCATCATCATCGGTAGATATGTTTCCTGTTCATCTGAATATTTCACTTCAACCATGATATTATTCTTCTTAACAGGTGGTTTAGACGTTTCAGGTTTACTATAGAAAAGCAATGTTGTAATCCCCTTTTATGATAGCTTTGTTAACCGATAACATCTTGGTTGAATGTATTTTATTTATTTTGATATACCAACGTTGTCACATCTGGAGGGTGATAATGTATCTCACTGTTTTGTACTCGTTTTGCTGATCATCTCAGTCGATATTGAAAATGGAAGTCAAACTCATTCCTTTGTATGTTGATCGTAATTCAATTGCTCCCCTTATACCTTATAACATTTAAATGTAAACAGGTTGGAATTGAAATTAGAGAATACATCATTCGGATACTCACAAATTTCGATTCACACATAAGTCATACTTTTTTACACCCCGTACTCATTCTGTTGTGCGTCGGTGGCACAGCCGTTAGGACGCTCGCCGACTGTGCACATGGTCCGAGGACCGATCCCCGACGGACGCACTCCTTTACCTCTTTAAGCCAGTTTTAGAATTGGCGAAGAGGGAAGGTTGAGCATGAGGCTAGCAACCTCATCCTGTAAAAATAAACACTGCTACAGAAACTTCAGGCCTCTAGCTTGAAACCCTATGTTCCACTGGGAACGTGAAGGAATAAAAAAAACTCATTCTGTAACGGTAGAAAACAAGAGACTTGATAAAAGGAATGTGTATTTGAAATTTGATATCTCTATATGGCGAAATGATGTACACCCTATCTCCCAATCGTCATTTGCACAGATCTTCCGTTGTGTGCTACTTCTGGCCTTCATATTGTGTTTCTTTGTGTTCCTTTTCACGTCTCCCATGTTATACTGCAACGCTGAATCATTTGCTCTCTTTGACGTGCTATTTGATATTTTTATGTCGATGAACGTCTCTTTATATACTACCGATAAATGTTCTCAGTAGCACACGTCACAATTTTACTTAAAAATGAGTTCCCCTTATGTAGTGACATAATGCGTAGTGAAGTTGATCAAAAACACTTCGTAGCATACATTGATGACAATCACTAAAGTATATTTTCCTACTACTTATACTATGTTCATTCTTTGTTTTGTTTTCTGTGTTTTTAAAAGAATGAATTGACAGGGGAGTACACATGCATTATGTTGAAACCAATAAAAAATGAGTCCGCCACGTATGGGTCAACAGAATGGTTCCAGAATTACTTTGATGGTTAGTTTTTGACCTAAGTTAAAATGTATTAAGGATATCTGTTTGTATGTACCTCTAAATTAGTCAGTTTGTTTTATTTTTCAAGTATCCAATTAGTATAAGTAAGGCAAAGTTCACATCTAAAGTAATCATGATTTATAATAATTATTATTCCTATATTTTTGTTGTTAAACTAGTAGTATGATTTTCATACAGGTTAAATATAAAGCTACCATCAACTTGGCATAAAATTAATCCATAGGAATGTTTAGCTTATCTATGAATTTTTACTTAATAATAACATTGTTTGTGAACACTAAATTGGTGATTCTATAGTAAGTATCCCTCATTTTCCAGCAAGTGTATTAGTCCAAGTTATTTGAAAATTTGTTTGTACAGTTTCTTCTAGCGTACATGAAGTGTTTTCTATTCTGTATGACTCGTGATAAATAAACGTTTATAACAGAGTTTTAACATACGTATGTATGTACAAAACTGCTGTCTCCGTTATCTATTTCTAATATGTATTAAAGACAACATTCGTACTTCTTCAGTATTGATTTTTATAAGTTCATATTCTTAGATTTATTTATTTGGTGCCCTTGTCTCTGTATAGTTAGTTCACTCGGTAATCCATGCAGTTAAGTAATCTATAACTAGACAAAATTTCACTCTAGTAATTATTCCATCCATAATATTCAGATGATTGTTTTATGTATATAAATCTTGGAAAGGTTTTTATTTTGAATTTTTATTCAGAGAAAATAGTTTCCATGAGATACTACTTTTTACTTCCACTAGAGTCAATTTTGTACACTACTATTTTCTGCTGAAATAAAACATACATCCCCTGAGTATACGTTATCATTGTGACATTATGTTTACAGATTTCACCAAACGTTTAATATACCTGTTTCCTGGACCATTCCGACATATGGATGGAATGTATGGCCTTGAACTACTTAGTCATAAATCACTGGATGGTCGTTTATCACAAGGTAATTTTAAATTTTATTAGATATTCTTTTTACTATTACATTTTTATGCCTATTTTTACTTATGCATCTTTAGAAGAAATAATTGAGCAAAGAATATCCTTTTTTGATTGGACACTAGTCAATAACTGGTGTAATGTGTCTAGTCCTGTCTTTAGTGCAGACTGAATTCTATCATACAAGTTTGCAATGTGGCCACCATGCTACTAGGTCGCTCGCCATTATGGTGCACTGTGAATTGTTGGTATTAGATGGTTGGAGGCAGTCGGCAGGGAAGCGTACCTATACCTGGGTTTCGTGCTAGTTAACCCTCGCTAGTCAGCAAGGCGTATCTGCAACCTTGAAGGAACCCATGTCCCTTCTGGGATTCGAACCCGCGTCACCCAGTGCTGCAGTCAGACACGTTACCACTGAGCTATTCGGACTCGCGATTGACCTCCTGTAGAACTACTGTATTGGATATTTTTTGATTGGACACTAGTCAGTACCTAGTGTCTGATTGCCTCCAACCATCTAATACCAAAGAATATTCTTTTCGATAATTTCCTCTTTCGGCTCTACAATTATATATATATATATATATATATATATATATATATATATATAATATTCTAGTATAATCGTCATTAACAATATTGGAGTTCTTAAATATTATCGACAGTGTGTGAACCAACTTCTTTTGGATACATAAGTTCGGTTTCTTAATGTAGCTCCCAACAGCCTCAGCAATATGTAGTAGACGAACTCTTATGGTAAAGTTAGTTCATTTTATGCCAAGATTTGCGCTGAAGATTTCCAGAAAGATTATGGAAGCTCTGCAATTAAACCAACCAGCTCAGAGAACACAACTAATTGCAAATCATCCACCTGAGCTACAAATTTGCTTTGTTATTTCAAAGTTAAGATGAGTTGGTATGCGGTGAATGACTTTGAAAGTCTCGTTAACATCAATCTCGTGTTCTGTATCCACGTAATGAGATAGAATAGAGCTATGAATGGATTATATTCGTTCGTTACTTAGCCACGCTCGATGGTGTTCGGAAATCCGACAATAAACACGCCTTATTGTACAGCTATGTAGCTGGTCTATAGGACAGTATGATAAAAACATAATTTAATTCAATTGTGAATTTCTTGATTTTATTTGATATTCTATTGCTATTAATTTTTATGTTATGTAACTTAGCGTCTTTCTTGAACTGTAATTCCATCGATTTACTTAACAAATCGATATATAATAATATTGTTAATACGATTATTTAAATATTTATATATATATATATATATAATATATATATATATACATATATATATATATACATATATATATATATAATTGTAGAGCCGGAAGAGGAAATTATCGAAAAGCATATCCTTTGCCCAAATTTTCTTTTGTCTTCTAAACTTTTCAAGACTTTATAATGTGAATCGTTTTAAATCATTGTTTGTATGACTACGAATTGTGTTTCTGTTTTTTTCATCTGCTAATCTGACTCACTAGAATTTTTATACTATATAAGTAGACTTTTTCAGACGTGTAATTTAATTCACTTTATGGTAGTGGATAAAACTTTTTGTATCATTGCAATCATACGGAAGAATTAAAATGACTTGATGTACATGGAACTTTTACACTGCTTTTTATTAAATGCTCAGAGTAACTCTGGTGTTTTTTGTAATGCTCTGAGTGTCATGGGGGAATAATAAATACATAAACAAAGGTATACTATAAGTCTGGAAGTACTATAGTGTAAGATAATATATACGCTATCCAAAGAAATATAGGTTTGCTACTGAGATTTTCGTTTCCAAGTTTGTAACCTTTGTTTTAATGTCGTTAGAGATAAATAATAGAGCGTGATCTAAGAGATAGGTAGTATTTATATTACAAATGTATTGATTGTTAACGTAAACCAAAAATATGTAATTTCGGTCTATTCAGAGAATTTCTTTATCAAAAGGTACTAACCCTGTAAACGTATGCGGAAGAGATACTTTTAGCTAAAGATTAGATTAGCGTTGACAGCATTTAAATTCCAAAGGTTTAGTCATCTAATGTAGGGTTCTGACCATTTGGTTTAGGCGCTCAGCTTCCAACCAGTTGGTTACAGGTTTTAACCTGGCTCCATCTACTGAGGTTCAGGCACCCATGTAGTATCACTAGCCCTCACACAGGTGTGGTTCATTCAATGCACTGAGTAACATTTCATTATCACTATTATAATTATCTAAATTTTTTCTCATTGTTTCTATATGAATTTCCAAGGAGATAAAAGATGCAAGACACAAGTGCGCTATACTTCTAGTTGGTGCTCCTAAACGCAGACTGGATTTCTAGGGTGCTTGCACTTATTCTTAAAATACCTTTACTTAGTATTTAGAAGCGTAACACCTAACAGTTTAGGTCAACATCAGTCAACTTTTGTTGTAATTGGTGTTTTTGGTAGTGAGGTCTGGCTAATTGACTGATGAGTTTTATTCATTGATTTTGTTGTAAGGGTACTCTCAGATTTTAGCATGACTACGTTTTCGAGTTTTATGACATCACTCTTCACAATTATTACGTTTGAAAATTATTATGACTGGTTTCAACGTAGAAATTTGTACCGATGTGCAGCAGTTCGAGTCACCACACTTCACTTAGCACACATAACAAGAGAAGAGAGTATGTTTTTATTATAGCTTGATTCGGTACAAGGATGAGATTATCAGCATATGATATCGGTAGCCCAAATTTAGCAGGCCGACCATTGATATCAGGCGTGCGTCGGCCGGGGATCGAACCCTGGACCATGAGCATCGTCGGTGAGAGTCCTAACCGCTGTGCCACCGACGCACAGAGCTAATAAACAGAAATACGGGGCATTATTATTGAGCCTAGAAGTTTAGGTACTATATTAGTCAAGCCAATCCCCGTATAATTATCACAGGAAGACTTGTCTCCCTTCTTGTATATTGGCATAATCATTGACTTACACCAGCCAAACGGGACTTCCTCTGATTCCCAGACGCTGCCTAATACCTTAGTTAACGCAGACAGTAAAGTGTCTTCACTGTCCTTAAACAACTTTGGAGTCATTCCCTCAGTTCCCACTGCTTTGCCTCGTTTCAAACTGGTGACAGCTTTTGTAACCTCAGTTAGGGACAGAGGACCTGTGTCTACATCCCAATCAGGGAGGCGTTGAATGCGCATTGGGTTAAGGCGTGGCTGTAGGCCAAATAAATTGCTCCCCCAAAGTGTTCTTTCTAACGTTGTCGTCGTCTATCCTGGTAGCTAATTATGGTGCAATTTTTCTCAGAGATTGTTTCACTTATCATTTGCCTTTTACCACCTGTTTCCCTGAAAAACCTAAATAGTTGTCTGGTGTTACTTATCGCTGATGCCTTTCCATCTCTTTCTCTTTTGTCGCCCACCACTGTTCATGGTCGTTACAAAGGCTTCTTGTTAGTTTACGTTTGAACAGCTTTCACTCGTCATCATATTCGGAGCTCGCCGGAATCAGTCTTCTTGCGTCAATCAGTTCGGTTGAGGTGGAAATTATTATACAACCTCCTAAGTTATATATATATATATATTATGAAAATGAACCAACCTATGTTGTTTTTAACTAACTTGATTTTCTGATTAATTATTGTTTCTTCATCAGAGCTTACACAATCAGAAATAAAAGCTTTATTCACGGAAGTGGATCTAGAAAGATTAAGACGATATAGTAGATCGCTGATAGACTTTCATTTGATCAACGATTTATTACCACGATTGGCTGAAATTTATTTCCGAAGGCGCTTGCCAAATGCTCGATTGAACAAAACTCAACAGGTAAATACACTAGTCTTAATTGATGATCAATTTTTCGTTGTATTGTGACAACTATTCATTTCAATTGCAACGAAAAACTTTTGTTGCCTCATACAGAATATTAAGTAAAATATTTTTTGGGTCAATACAATATTCACTCTCACAAATGATATTACTTTCATAGTTGTAGTAGCATGACTTACTTTAAAAAATTTCACAGTCTCATCTCTTAGATTTCTGAAACATCCACTGACTGAGTTTTCAACGTAGGACTTTGCACAGGGGTGCAGCATTTCAAGTTGCCACCCTTCATGTAGCACACAAAGATGAAAAAGAATTCAAAGGAACTATAATGAGTGGAAATGTACAGGAGATAGAATAACTGCATTGATTATGATGAGGATTTAATAGATCAAGGTGGAAACATTCATTTCTATTGGTCAGCATCTCTTGTGATTGATGATGGAGATCTACACAAGTGCATTAGTTTGATTTGTTACATTTCGATGAATTATACAAATAAATAGAACTGAATTGTTATGTTATTACAGCAGACAAGCATACATGTTACCAAAAGAGTAGTTAAATTTTATTTAATGAAGTATTTTGGAATCTGAAAGATGACAAGATGTAAATACATCTGTAACACTATGAGCCACGTCATCAAGAGTAGTCAAGCATTGAATCCATTGGATAAACTAATGACTGTATTGTAATTAAGTGTATGGTTTACTTCTCTACTCGAGTAGTTATTTTATTACTTCAGGTTCCCAGTGGAACATAGAGCTTCAAGCCAGTGGCTTAAATTTTCTGTAGCAGCGTTTATTTTTACAGGATGAGTTTGCTAGCATCATGCCCAACCTTTCCTCTTTACCAGCATTATTTCTGGCTTAGCGAGGTAAAGGAGTGCATCGGTTGGGGGTCGAACCCCGGACCATGTGCATGGTCAGCGAGCGTCCTAACCGCTGTGCCACCGACGCCGAGTAGTTATTTGGTGTATCAATTTCTTTGTATTTGAACAGCGTGGATGCGGAAGAAAAAAATATCAATTCTATATAAAAGTGATTAAGGGGTTCTTATCAATTTTTCTTGTTTCACTGCCATACACGTTCGTGTTCTATTGCTCTTTCGCATATTTTCTTGTTCACTTTGATAGATTACATTTGTCAAGCAGCAGAGACTTTATTAGCCTGTTTCGTCAGTTGTTCTGGGATTTGCGTAGACTGAGGACTCATTATTTTTAATGAAATGCAATGTAATCGTCATGCTCTGTTGAGATTACTGAATATAGGATAACACTGTTCGTATTTTGTCCGTCATTAAATACTTACTATAGGTATCTGTACGTATGTCAAGCTTTTTCACTGAGGCTAATATTGACGAACGAGAAAGTATTTGACGAGGTTCGATGATAATAATAACAGCTTTAGACAAAGCAATAAGAAAACGTAATTTGTCTGAGAACAGGCGACCTAGCTCCTCTATTGCTAAACATATTATAGAGACAAGACATAAAATTGATGTTTACACGTCTTTTAAACTTACCTATAGTACGTGTTTGTGGAAGCCCTAGCGATTGGGAAGTTTAAACAACTTTACGCGTTCGAAAACAATTCGTCATCACACTAAACCTTCCTTGGTAAACTTTGTTTTGATACCAGGATAGGTGTACTATTACTTCCCTTCTTTGGTTTAGTGATCTTCATTGTTACTTTGACCTTCAATATGTCCTTTTAACTTGACCTGAGTCTACTTTCCCAGCTCTTAACTCTATTAATTTCATATATATTCCCATGACAAGTCCGTGTGTTGATGAGATTGTTCGAAATGTGTTGCGCGAATACATTACACGATTCAGACAAATTTCGTCTTCCTATTGCTTTGTCTACATTTATAAAGGGAATTAATTGTTTTAAATAATAGGTTTATTCCGGAAAATGTGTTTATACACAGTACAGAATTTCCGACGTCTATTTTATATTGTAAGAGATTTAAATCTTGTGCAGGATCTTCGAGTAATATAATAATAATCGATAATGTGTCATCTGAAGCAGTATTGTTCTATCTGAAGCATTCTCCAATGGTCCACGATGTTTTTCCTCCATTTCCTTCAGAAAATTTATAACAGTAGGTTGAAACCTATTTGAAAATATGCGCAAGTATACAGGGTGATTCTTAGATGTAATTGGATAATTAAAACAATGTGACATCGACTAAATTCATTGCACTTAGATGAATAATAAATTGAGGTAGCCCAGTGATAGTTAAATTTAGAAATGGGTGAATTCGCCACCCACTAAACGTATCTATTATTGATCACCCTTTTGAGTATTATTCTATTGTTTTTTTCTTCTTATGTAGGTTATTCTATTAGGTATGGGTTTACAACACAAAACAGTCGATAGATTATCCAGTGAATTTGATCGTCTACTCGGGGAAGCTAGTTGCCGTCAAGTACGAGTTTCTGGAATAACACGACCTGATGACGCTGTGTATTCAGTTTTGAACTCATTAGAGGATAAAGGGGATAAATCTTCGTGTAAAGTTAGCAGTGATTCTTTTGCGAACAGAAAAAAAGGTCCAGATACTGGAGTTTCTACTGGTTGGACTAAACGCATCCTAGGTCTTCTTTTTGTTATTGTCCGTGAACTAACTAAGTCATTGGATTCTATACTAGGATCTAAGGGTGACAATATCTCACAATCAAAGAGAAATATTCTCAGTGAAAATGTACTACCAGTTACAGAGGCCGATCTTCAAGTAAGCACATACAAATTATTATTTTTTTTTGTAAACTACTTTTGTATATATTTTTATACTGAAGACCCATTTCGATATTTATAACTTTGTTTTGAAAGTGAAGTTCAGTTTCATTAGATAGTTATGGCTGTAATTGCAATGAAAAAGCCTTGTAAACGATCAGTTTAGATGTTTCTGCTAACAACTAACCTGTAGAATGTTCTTCAATTTCGCCTCCTTGATAATTATATTTCGTCAATATTTCTCACGTGTTAAAGCAATTTTTGTCAAAAATTTCAATAATTATTTCCGGTATACATTTGTTGATATTTTAGGATGGAAAATATGCTGAACTTAGAATAGATGATGATGCATCAGATTCAGAAGAATCCGAAAAATGTAATGGCTCGCAGTCTGATGATTGCAGTGATGATGAGTGTGACAGTGGTGATGATTCTATGATCAAAGAACAAGACTTTTCTTCTAATAATTTGGGAGTGAAGTCTGAAATTAGTGACTCTGAACGTGAACGTCGATCCAATCTGGTGCGCCAACTTATATCTGAAGAGATTGTTGGTCAACCCAGTTCACTTGGACATCTTTCAACTTATAAAATTCATGGTTCTGAAACAGATTGGGCTGAAGCAGTGGTTGGTCATGGGTCTGACCTTTCTTCTCTCACTGTTAAACTTCCAAATAACCAGAAAACTTTCAATAAAAAGTAAGTTCGAAATTTCAAACTTATTTGTGTGTGTGTGGTTGTATTTTTCACGGTTATCCTTTATTCAATAGGCTTGCATATCGCAATGACCCAAGCTGGAACTAATGTTTCTGGGGGTCCTACCATGCCAGGCAGATTGTTAGGATAGTGATTGGACTGAGAGTAGCTACCAACATAGTGTAAGATCTTCACACAGTATTCTGGGGATCTGTTGGCAAATTCCTACTGCTGAGGAACAGGAATGTAACAGCGGTAAAGTATTTCCCTCAGATAACCAGCATGCCATATATGCTGTCTCTCAACTCTGGAGAGAGGGGGTTAGAAAAGGTCGACCCCGAAAATTATACATCCCAACTTTTCCTACGGTGATTCGTAGCCGCTGGAAAGTCAATAATATGGAATCAAACCTAAAGCCAGTCCAAACAGGCCGTGTGTGACCGGCCTCAAGCAGTTGTTCCCTGGGCTCTGCGATCACGCAACACTAATTCTCTTTGTGTTTCAGGTACCCCGAGAAACAACCAACTTCCGCGGTGCGGGCAACCCACACCCTTCTAAAAGTACATGAAGCCCTCCTAATCATCATTTTCCTCCATCCAAGTCACCCTCATCACTATGTTTCCTTACCACTGTTAATACTATTCGTCAGGTTGGTCAGTCATCTTCCTTTCATTAGGTGACCACAAATAGCGACGACAGCTAGGAAGACACTCCCGATAATCTCTTAAAGCCACGGCCAACTTCATGTTATACCATTTAACTTCAGAACCCTCTGCCAAATCGGACAACAGACACCACTAACCACAACTGTAGCATTTTGGATGTATTTTGTGTTTCAGAGACCCACATACAAGACCCGAGTGTGGCACAGTGGTTAGGACTCTCTCCAACCATACACATGGTCCGGGGTTCGATCCCCTGCCGACGCACACCCGATATCTATGGTCGGCCTGCAAAATTTGGGCTACCGGTATCCATGCTGAAAATTCCATACCTGTACCAAAAAATACGGTGTGGAATCAAGCTGTAACCAAAATAAAAAAATAAAGTTATTCACTTAACCCCACCTGGCCAACAAGGTGAATCTACGAAATTTACTTCACGGGTGTCAGGAAATTCTTCAGCTAGTTCGCGAGGACTCTCAGGTGTGGGATTATCATTGAGTTTCAGTTAAGAGAAGTCCCTTCTTGACTAGATCCCAGTAGATAGTTGTATTTGTGTGGTCCGTTTGAACGGGTCCTTTAGAAGAAGGAAAGGTGGCGTTACTCATCGTCGTCTTTTCACAGTCTCTGTGTGCGGTCCACTTGAATGCAGTTTAGGTGAATTAAAGGATGACTTTTACCAAAAGCTACCTAGTTTGCCGAAAAGAGCGAAATGCTCAGATATAGTCGTCTTAGCAGACCATTTCAACGTCCAAGTAGTTATTCTGCTTTTCAGTTCAAAATGCGATTTCCTAAGTATTAATTGCCACTTTCCTACCGGTATCCCCTTAAAATTTACTATGTATTTCTTATAATACAATAAGTATGTTTATGTATAAGTCGCAACTCAGCAATATGGTGGGTGTTTATGCGCTCAACAGTGATCTGCATGTACTGTGTAGCAGAGTCATCGTTCATACCTCTGTGTGGGGTAGTGTTTGAATGTGTTATTTATTTATCTACAAAGCAGTTGCAATCAGATACGAGTGGTGTACGTTTAGTCGTGTGATTGATTTCACTAATTCCGTTTAAAGGAAAAAATACTTCATATTGTTATTTATTTCTTTAAACGTTTAATTTTTTTAATAGTTACGTTATTTAATAGCATACTGATCACTCTAATGGTAATTATTTTTTCTTGATTACTCTTCTCTTTAGGAAACGTAATCGGGATGATACAGATGATCATTTTGAAAAGAAACACAAAAAGAAACTTAAACTGACTAAAGCCAAGCGCCAAAAGAAATGAACTGATTCCACTCTAACTTATTTGTGTATAGACATGTAAAAATATATTGAACTGTCGTGTTTGTTTCATTGTCTTCTTTTCTTTATCCATGGGCGGCCCAGGATAAAGTATGCCGCCCTGGTTTTCTTTATACTATTAGGCATTTCATCCATCACACTACTCCCAACACTCACACAGTTACCTAGATACAGGAACTTATCGACTAATGCAAGCGAGTTACCTTCATGGATGAGTGTTAGTAGATGCTCCTGTCGCTCTCGCAACAATACGTTGCACTTGGACAGAGCAAAAAGATGTGTATATTAGTATTAGTTCGCAAATTGAGTAGGTCTTCTGAAAGAACATTTCGTTGCATATGAGTTGCACTTCAGTTACACAACCAGACCCATATTCTACATTGCATTGAAGATAAGTTACTAATGGTGATCACATCAATGTGTTCATTCTCTAGGCTCGCCTTAACATACCATATAACATACCATAATCTTCTCATATTCACTGGTCTTATTGTCCTTCCTACACCTTATCACTTAGATTTCATAACACGACCATTAATATTGTTCATGACGCGTTGGATTTACACTGAGCTAATCCTTCATTATTTGATTATTTTGCGCTGTATAACCACTGCACTTTATTATTCGTCATCCTTCTACCTTACATTCAGTATACCCCATTCATTTATATTTTTGTAGTATCTATATTTTCTCTCACATCACAGAATATAACTAACCCAAATACATAAGCGAGTCACTTAGTTGTTTAATCTCATGTTCTTAATGACTGTTCATTTCATATACACTTTAATGATAATTAAAACCAGCAGAAGATTATTCCACCTTGTAAGACAATACAACTTCTCGTTTAGTTAGGGACACTGAGAATTTGAAAACACTTAGAACGTTATGTAAAATGTTTTCATCACTTTCTATGAAGTTACTTATTTTTTGTCAAGTCCATGATTACTTCCCAAAGCGTTGAAAATATCCCACTAAACGTCTATTTAATTATCTCAATAATCTGCACTTATGAACAACTGCATAAACCAGTAATAGACAGGTTGACTTCATAAATACTGTTTTTCCTGTAATAGTTTATATCCATCCTTTAAATATTTTATCGATCATCAGTCAACGATGTTTTTCTAACCCTATTTCTCTCTCGATTGGCTATAAGTTTCAAGGCTGTCAGGAAAATTCTTATTGGTTTTAGTAATCAGTGGGGTTTTTAACTTCCATCTAGTATTTTTATCCTCACTTGTCTAATGACGCTTGCTAGAAAATGGACGTAGCAAACCCTCACATTCTGTATCTACCTCGTAAGTACCTCGACAATCTTATTCTTGTTATATATAACAGTTTTAACTCATTAGAAGTCCCTAAGGAAATACTATTTTACCATATTCATAAAACTCTTCTGACAAAGATTTAATGCTCTTATATGAAGCACCTTGTTTTCAAAAAGGTATATGATTCATCGGGGATCTTTTACACCTTACCTCACTTAACATTATGATTAGTAGCTATCGTTTATAGTATGGGAAATACGGTATATATACGTAAGGAAGTGTAATATTTATCTTCGTAGTTACATACAAGTAGTAATGTAAAAATAAACAGTGGTGTAGTTCAGTGCAACAACAAATATTTCCTTAAATTTTTCACTTAATTCCTTCCAAATTCCAATCTGTTTGAACAACAAGTCAGTTGCCATTAAACAGTCAATTTAAACGGCAAGCCTACGCATCTTTGCAGTCTATATCCTACAATATACACTTCTCAACTAATCGTCCGTAGAATTTTTCTGTTCTTCGTTGACCTGTCAGATTTCAGTACGGCACTCGAAAAAGAAAGGCCATTTGTGCACATGCCTGTATTCAATAGTTGGTTTAAGTGTGATGTTTGGATCTAGCTTTAGTAGCACTCGAAGAAAAACAGATTAAACATAAGCCTGTGGCTATGCTGTTGGTGATGGTTAGAGGTATGGTGTGAAATATCTGTTACTCACACTCGATCTTCTGAGGACAGGTTACGGGTGCGATTCCCCATACCCGTATTCCATCTTTTACATCTGTTGAGATATTAATAAGCTATCGAGGTGTGTATCTACGTTGGACGCAGATGTGTGAGTTCCTTCTCGTATATTCGTATAGTATGGTAAGTTTTGAAGTTAGGCGTAGAGTACAAGGTAAGGAAGGGAAGTTAGTCGATGAGGTAATGAATATACACTGACTAAGAAGATTAGGGTGTGTTATGCACGCCGAGCTATCGCTTCCCTCATCGATCAATGATAGCTGATACAGGATTGCGTTTAGAAGGGGTTAGGTGTGGTCAAATCAAAATGTGACATTAATCTGTAAAATTTTTGACTGTTAGTTTGAGCCAGGTTGGGAGATGAAAACTGCTCAGCTGAGGTCTTCAAGATGCTGACAACTAATGACCGGTGATTGTTGGTGAAATGGCTAAATTGGTTTCAACAGCGCAGTTGTATTCACTTTTGCGTTTCCCCAGATCCATTAATTCCTTGTGTTTTTCGATGCTTCCTGCTGTACATTTCTGCTCATTGTGGTTTCTTCTTCCTCTACCATTATATGCAAAATGGAGTATGGCAACTTGAACTGCCACATTTATGCGCAAAGTTCTACGTTGAAACTCAGTCAGTTAGTGTCTGTGTTGAGTAAGTATTTCCCTCTGGATCCAGGAGTTAATTTTTATGGAATAATTTTTGGCAGAACAAAAAGGCTGTAGTCACTTTTTAGCATTCAAAAGTTTGTTTTGGAAAACAATTTGTCCCTAAACTTGTCCTTATTTTTCGAAGTTTAAATCTGTTTGTGTTCATCAGGTAATATTGGTTGTTTTGTAACAAAACCCAGATCAGCTTAGTTGATGAATTGTTAACACACTACCTAAAATTCCAAACTCTTTAGGCGTTTCGTGTTTAGTTGTATCTCAGAAAAAGTTAACTTTGGAGTTCTTAATGTGTTACAGATGTCGTATTATGCAAGTCTAATCGAACGCACCTTAGTCTAATACCTAGATATACTTACTAACGCTGGATACAATGGAACAGTATGTTATGTGTATAGGATCCTCAAACATGACTGGTGAAGCTTTCAAATATTTCACTGATCTTCGCTACATACCGTCTCTCTCGAAGTGCACTATACTTGTAAGAAAACAAAGGGAGTTTGGCATAATTTGAGAAAGATTATTTGATGTGATTTTGGGTGCTATACTATTTTATTTCTTTTGGAAGGGGTTAGATAGAGACTAATAAGTGTCGAAAGCAGTCAAACACAGTGATGCTGAACAGAATAAATTCTCTGACTACTAATCTGGCCATATAAACTCTTTAGCTGACATCGGCATTTATTCTTATAATCCATGGAATGTATGTTCTATTTTAACCTGGATGCAATACTTTCGTTCTCTTTGTCTTCATTTTGTCTCTGATTCACAACCTTCTCAAATGTTTATCTTGCTATTTTCACTTCTTTGTGGGGTCTGTTGTCGAACTTAGTTTCACACGGAAGCTCCTCTTGAATTACCAGTTATTTCTAGTATAATACAAAGAAGTTCACCAACCATAGCCGCAGACCAAAAACAGTTTGATCCACATAAATCCATATCTTTTTAGAGATTATTAATTACCAGTGACGATCTATGTCTATTCATATAAAATTTGACTTACTTATGTTATCTCGTTCCCTTAAGTGCATACTGTTATATTGGAAATCATTTCTTTTAAGTAGATTCATCTGAGTCACGCAAACATCAACAGAAGGTTACTGGCTTTGTTAATCAACTGCTGGTTTTTTGAAGCTATGATGCCTCTCTTCCAAGTCCGTTACAACAGTAGGATCCATTAGAAAGTGTCGTATTCGTACCTATCATGATCAGGATGAACCTTTATGATGCTTATTAGGTGAAGTGCTTGAATTTCGAAGAATCATTTTGCGCACGAATTTTCAACATCTAAATTCATAAGTCTGATGTCCAGTGAAGTCTTTGACTCAGTTATTTGGAAGGCAAGAGTTTCGTATAGTTTTGTTGGCGTTCTAGTTTTTCAGCTTGAAGACACGAACAAAGCAGTTTGGATGCGTATAGGCTTTAAAGCCAGTTGTGTATTTGTCCCATTTTAAAGCATATGTATTTATAAGAAATTCTAATACAGTGGTAGCAACAAGAGATATATTTCTAATGCAGATATTGATTAAAAATACCCTTAGTGTTACTGTACAAAAATATATATTTATCTGTATGTATTACTTTCTATAGCTGACGACTTTACAAACTTTTGGTTTTATGCCGTATTGGTAGCAATGACAATTTTCTCCTACTTCGTCATACGAGGGATAAAGGAAATCTGGTAAGTAAAATGTATTTAAGTAACACTGCTTCAAATTATTGTTAGATTTGAAGTTTCGATTTCTTTCAAAGTCTCTGTCATACAAAGTTTGCTTTTATTTGAATTCTAACCAGTCAAATAAGTCCAAGTTCAGTCTAGTGTAATTGGTAGTACCTTAGTTTGTCAGCTCTGGCTCTCCACTGATTCTAAATAAGTATGTGAACCCTAGAATCTTCCCAGAAACACTGATTGGTTACAGAGAGTAAGTAAATTTGGAAAGAAAATTCGCAGTATCTTGTGTAGTACAATAATCTTGTTGTATGCTTTATAATCCAATTAGTGCATACCTTGAACATAATCGAGTAAGGTTTGCTTTGAGGACGAATTGTCGCCAAGATATAGTAATCTGAGATAGTTTTTCGAATGCTTTTTTATGAAGAACATTTTATTAAGACGAACATTGTAAAAATTTATTTGAAATACTTTGATTTTCAGCTGTGAAACAATAACTCCAAATTTATATCGTGTCCATCCGTCGCATAAGGCAACTAGTGTGTACTCTGGTGAGAACGACACAAGAAGTGGTTTGCATTCACGAGTGACTGTTTTCTACTGATCATTTTTTGAATCATCGTTCTGCCCTCATCACAAATTTCATACTGCAATCATGTGCAATGTGAATTTTCCATAATTTTTCATTCCTTATCTTAAAATTCATTTGGAGAGTATTTACTTGAATGCCTTTATTTTGAAATATTTTTTTCTTAATAAAATAAATTTCAGTGTAAGCAGTAAGTTTGTTAGTAATTCGAGATTTCAGTCTTGTGTACATACGAATGTTAAAAATTTATAATAGGGTTCCCATTTTGTTTAAACTAAATCGAAGCCTTTTTGGTAGAATATTTATGCACATACACTGTAATAATTCGAAGTATTCTGAAATAATGTCTTTTGATGCTATCCGAGAGACGTATCCTTGGGATAATTTGTGAATAAATCCAAATATTCACAACAAGTCTAAGATTTGCACAGATTTTTGTCTTAAAAGGAACTTACAGTCACAATTAGGTACTTCAGTCCAAGGACATGTCACTGGAATAAATATGTTTACCACGAATCTCTTTCAAAGGTGCACATTTACAGCCTATTATGTTATATAATGGTACATCAAGAAATCAAAACCGTATAAGAAACACGTTTAGTGTGAGACTGATCATTATCAACACGGAGATAAATAGTAACTGTTGATCTCAAACAGTTACGTTTTCTTTTTAGATTTCTGGATTGCTGAACATCCAGTCGTAACCCACATTGCCTCGTCAGCTGACTGGAAATAATAGGAATGTGCCTTGCGGAAAGGCATATTACTTACTTTAAGTCAACTATTTCACCAAGTAATTGACTGCAGAAACCAAATCCTTCACATAACTTCATCGCTACGTGTCTCACCCAGCATCAAAACTACTGTCGAAAAGTAACACACTCTTGATAAAATCAAAGTCGGTATATTATAGGACAGTAAACGGCATGGAACAAAATTTCGCAAGCTTTTACATTTAGGTGATTAGCAAAACGAACAACTTTCGAAACTCCATCAAATTGGGTCTCCTTATGCATGGTTATATGAGTTGGTATTAGCGACTAAACTGCAGATGTGAGTTTCCTCGCAACACGGGATGTTGGAAAGAGATATAAATTGTCAGGAATTTTCTGTGAACAGTATAAAAAATCAGGTTTCGTATTGCATCAAGTAGTCTGCCTCATATAATTGTTCGATACATAATTCTAGTGTATTAATTCCTATCTATTTAGATAAAGAGTAACCCATTTTATGTTTTAGAATCCTACACATTTACATTGTGAAAACTGTGATGTGTTTGTGTCGTTTGATTATCTTCGGTCTTAGAAACACAAATTCAGATCCTGCGGAAGGCATAAGCTCTCTTGACTCCGTCTCGTAAACGAAAACATCAAAACGATATAAATATACTCTGAAAGATTCTAATTTACTGTTGACTTTTGATGTCAGTTTCGGTTGAAGTGCATGCAGTATCACAGAGGAATAGGTTACGTTTGTCTAATGTGCGACGTTTTGCACAATAACTCACATAAACAATGAAAAATAGTGTGTTCCATGGAAGTCATCTCCACCTTCAATTTTTAACCACAGAATTGATGGAAGTTTCAAGTTTAATTGTTTTGTGCATCGTGTGCTATCGCCATTGTGACAAAACATAACCGCTGTCATAATAGCCTGAAAGACTATGGTATGAATACTTTTTAAAACGAATCTGGGTGGACTCCAGGGTTGTCCTTCATTACTTAAAGAATAAATTGCAGCGAAATCAGCTATACTACCAACTTTTGGAAAAACTACATTTTGGCACCCGAATATACGTTCATATTCACAAATAACCTCGCAGTCACTTCTTCGTTGTGGTTGTTTACAAAATACGGTCATGGTTTATGAAAGTGAGGGAAAGGAATCACGTATAAATTAGAATTTCCCAAACAATATGACTGACACTATTACTGTCTTACTTTAAAATTAAAAGTCTATCTTCCTTGTTTATAAAAAAGTAGGGACCTAAAACATTCCTTTACTTGTAAAAAGGCCTCAAATCCCAACGCTATTTTGCACAGATTATTAAAAAGTGATTTTTATTAAATTTCCCAAAAGTTTTACCATGGTTATCAAATAAATACGTGCCGCAACAGAGTACCCGTCTCAACACTTTCGCAGTGCATACCAGATCAAATTTCGCATGCAAACAAGGCATAATGGTTGAAACTGGAAACTTTAACTTTTATTGGTTAGCTTTATTGCATGATTTAAAATGAATGAATAAAAATCTCAGCTCTCGAGATGACGATCCTCCTCTAAATTCGAGAAAACTGTTTGAAAGTGATCAATAAGGAAGCATTTCTTGTTTCTTAGCTTCGTTTCAAGTGATTTTGCCTTTTCAACTAAGTCGTTGACATGTTTCATTGAAGTCTCTAGAGTTTGAGTACATTCTCTAAGGAATACAAAAAAATGTAAAAGTGCTCACTCAAAGTTATCAGCTGCACTATTCAGAGCTTCGGATATGCCACGAATTATATCTGTTAAAACGTATTAATTGTGAAGCACTAACAAACCTTTAAAATTCGCCTCACTGGGGTCCTTAACTTTAACGTCTTGTGATATATGAAGTTCTCTCTCATTATTGTCACCGGATTCAGAGCTGTAATTGGCCACTCCAAATTCGTCGTTTTTCTTTGACTGTAAGCTAGGTGTGGATTACTAACAAAAACTCTGGGTTCTCATACCTCCGTTCCATATCAGCGAAAAAACAAAATGAAATTTGAATCAGTCCAAATCATGAAAATGTCCAATGTCTATCTGAACACCCAATAACAATTTGTCGGTCGGGTTTGCCTCTCTGTTACGTCTTAAAGATCTACATCCTTGCCAAATTCTGGTAATTATATACGTCCTCTAACTAGATGTGTCTTCTGAATGGAGTGAACATGACAGGTGTCCGCTTATGTTTCACATATATGATGCGTACCGACATAATGTCGTCCAAGGATTAGGTGTTGTTGTCTCGCCAGACAGTCCTGTGTAGCAGTCAACAAGGTACCAGGAATTAAGAAATAATAGGAAAGTAGAGGTGAAAGCGCAGAAATCGACTGACATATCTAATATAAACCAGATAAGGAAGTAATACTTCCTATTTCCGAGTGATCGAATTCTGTAAAAGTCTTGATGTTCTGGTGCTTGTTTCTTGTTGGTTTTGGACGATTCTAGAGCTTTGGCAGCTCCCAGTGCGTAGAATCTGTCTTCTTGACTGCTATCGCTTTGCTGAACTCAATAGAAGTTTAGATATCAACTTATCTTGAAGGAGGTGCAGATTTTGTTTTAAGGCATGGGGTTTTAATGTGTTATTTCGCCATACGATCCTGCAGATAAGTCAACAGCACTCTGAAAGAGGCGTTTTTATGAAAACAGGACGGATATCGAGTTGCTGAGTAGACAAATAGAGAAGAAAATTAGAAATCAAATAAAGAATTACTTAAAGTATACAGATTAAAAGTAGAAAAATATTCCACAAATGCTGAGTGCATAATCGGCCATGCTTCCACCACAGTCAGTGTGTGCTGTCTGCGAGAGTTTTTATGATCATTCGGAACTGTCTTGAAGCTTCAGCCGATCTACCAACGCCTCGTTCGCCAGCAGTGTGTCTCCATGAAACCAATTAATTACAATGCTTTGATGACTTCGAGCTCTCTTCTGGTTGTCTTTAGCTAGAAAAACACTCTTGATTGTTGCATGGCCATCTGTCCAGCTAGAGCTGAGCTTTGCTCGCACTACCTGCTGACTCTTTAACCTAATCTGATGGCCAGACTCTTTAACATTGTGGAAGCTAGTGAAGATATAACGTAAATCTTATGACTGCTTAAAGGTGTATTTATTAACGACGATTTGATGAGAATGTAACAACAGAAGACAAGGGCCAGGCAACAGATCGTTTATTAAGGAAATCAACACATATTTATAGCTTTTCATGTACATTATTACAGATTATTGTTAGTAGAAAAACACAGTCTTCTGATTGGTTGTTTCTCACTGAAAGTTAATCTTTCATCTCTTTGTGGCTGTTTCTTGAATGTCAGATCATCTTTATGCTAACTGTATCCGCCTACGCAAAGTCTGCTGTGGTTGGTTGTTGAATCAGTCTTTGTTCATATTTTTCTCACGACCAATATTGAGGACGTAAACATTGACGTAAATTAACATTCACCAATTTTGCTAGCAGCCAGCTCTCACCACAAAAATATTGAGTTACACATTTACACTGCGACGCATCTGCTATCAATTTTCACCTGAAAATACACTTGTCAAAATCTGTTTCCACTACACGGTCAAATGTATTGATCACTGGACATGCAGTGGCTGAGGTGCAATTGATTTGATGAACTTTCTTGATGCCATATAAGTGCATTAAATAAATTAATATGTATGGTAAACGAATTTGAGTCTCATTTTGTTAATTGACTTCTGATTGACCATTACCATTTTATTTTCCCAAGATCAATGCGCTGCGTATCCAGTGGCATGTTATATTAAGCTGAAACGAGTTATAATTCATCTTATAATTACCCGGAATTTTATAAATACTGAGGGATTATAAATCGATTCTTATAAGTCCGCCATTTTCTGCGGTGTTGTGGCCGGATGAGCGATTTAATCACCACTCCCTTGGGATCTATAAAAAGATGGACAGATAATATCAAGAAAGGAATGAAAGAATACACACTTTTCAAGACAAATTCCGTGTGTGTGGTCCATATACTTGTTTAAAAGATAAAGTTTTGAATGCTCTTTACTGGTTGCACACTGAGTACAGATTTGTAGGCAAGTTTCCTCTTTTTACATTCTTGGGTCCTAATTTTTATTCTAAGTTTTGGTGAAGGACACGCTCTAAAGTTGCGTGATTTTGGTTTTTTTCACCGTAAAGGAAAAATGTCAGATTTGTAATATCCTCTCGACGACCTAGAATGCACCAGTTTTACTCCTTGATGTCATTAGTCGGTCTCAGATCTCTTTTGGATTCTGATTATACTTTCTTTATTTCTCTTCGGATGCAGACTCATTATATCCAACAAGTTTTTGTTTGAAAACTCGCTAGGGTGCCCAGGTTTTACTAGCTGGACTTTTTTACTTTGGTTCCCCAGACTGTCATTAGGTCAGTTACAAGAGAGATAGAAAGGTAGTTAGGAATAAGTACAAAACCTAGCAAAAGCATCCAATATTTTGAGGGGATCGAAAGCATGTATGGGTAGGCAGGAATTTGAGTATAGATGGTGAACATATAAAACTTCATTATTGAGAGAGCAGTTGCTGTGTTCATCCGTTTAAATAGAGCACCATTAATGATATTAATAAAATCAAGTATTATTTCCGTGCTACAAACTATAACTGTCGTGTGACCAGCAGTTGTATATATGTAAGTACCGACTACTAAAACCCAACTATGCGTGCCAATTATTTTCCCTTCATGCAGCTATATGTACAAATGACTTTTTAACACTTGTTTTACACCTTTATAACCTGTCTTTATTTTAGGGACAACTCCTTCGTATTTATTGCTCTCCTCTAATTGTAATATATTTTATTCAGGAGACAATAGTTGTAGGACAAATAACCTTAGTATCGACGATGGTAAATCCCAGGCTTTGACGTAGTTGTGGTTTCTGAGCCGTATGGTTTACTTGCGAAGCTTTCAATACTCTAACAGGCAACATCTTCATGGCGCACTTCAGTTTGAATACTTCAAATACTTCAACTTCAAGCCATCCATATTAGCTACAAATTTTCTCCATTATGTCTAAATCTGGGTACTGACCACAATGGTGAAAATATTTAGGGGCAAACTAAATCCTGTACTCAGTGATGTCATGAAGTCGACAGCTGGATTGAAGGGGATGTTAATCTTATTCGGTTAGAACTGGCTCAGTCGAAGATGCTTAGTGAAATACATCTGATTTTCTGTTTCCCAATCATGACTTCCAGCTTATCAAGCATGAGTATCGTAGAGGAATCGTTGTTTCGAAGTAGAAACCTGTTGCTAATTCATTCCTCGGTTACACTGCCAGAGATTGTTGCTGTTGCCAAAAGACAACTCCTCAGTATTCAAGATACTATTTATGTATTTCAGCGTGAGTGATATTAATAGAAAAATGGGCAGTTTGAAAATGCACTGACCTACTTAATATTTACTGCTACATTACGGTCATTCACACAACAGCTTGGCTATCTGGTTCACAGCTGGTTACTGCCATTTCACTGAAATTTCTAAAACAAACGTCAATATAATGTACGTCATCAATATTGTCGTATTGCTCTGGCCTTCCTCCAACGAACAGACTTTAAAGCCTTAACAGTCATTGTGCCTACTACTAATAGAAAACTCGCTTGAATTAGTATGTTCATTGGGGATTCGTTTAGTGCTCATCAAAAGTGACAGTTCCTATCCTTCAGAGGTTACTTAGATTCTTATATTCGTAGATAAACAATCAAGCTGGAAGGAAGGTCAGCTCTGAAAACACAGTAAACATACTGACATTTCCATTTATTTTAATTTTCCTCGGTCCTGAATTGGGTTATTTATCAAACGAAAAATGCTCCGATAATTTATTTTACCTTGGTCTTTGGCCGGCATGGATGAACAGTTTCTTACAGACGACTTGAACAGTAATACTATGACGAGTATAAACTGTAGTGGCCCATATATGGCCACTATAAACTGAACTTATGTAATTGGAACAATAAATTATCCACTTTAGTATAATTGGTATATGCCAGTGTGGACAGGAATGAATTATTATTGGTTGACCATCAGGTGAAATATGTGTTAACACTAAAACTTTAGTATTGTCGGGCCTTCACAACATCGTATGATGTAGCCACTCAAAAATAGTAGGTGATTGAGAAATTCAGAAGGATGAGGCTATGGACAAAAAAGGAACTGTTTCTTCCTTATAATTTCAGTAGAGAGTCCCTTCTATGTTTTTGACTAGGTTTTCAACTTCACTTGCCCTCTGTTATGCTTCTGAAAACAAAGATTTAATAGGCTTGCAGAACATGCACCTGGGAATCTGCATCCCATAGGTTCAGCATAATTTAACAGAGCTATTACTCGGTACCTGGATGATACAGGACACTAAATCAAAGTAGTAGAATCTCCTCAATTGTTAAACCGATAAAACCTTTCAAAACTACTTTGAATTGCTGAATATGTGGTCATTTGGAGAAGGAAACTTGAATTATGCGAGCAAAAGAAAACTGTTACTAACTTGTTGCTACCATGGTAAGCGCTGACTCTTTCATTTTAACCTGTTGAAACTTCATATTGCTTTATTTTACTCTTTTTTGTGCGTCGTAATTCCGTAATTGCATTAATCTTTTTCCCTATTAATTCTTGGTATCTACTTATCCTTTACCTCTCTCTTTTCGGTTGGATAATTCTCCACATGACCACGTGGTTGACTCAATTTTGCAGGAACTAAACTTTCAAGAACATTCTTCTATGTACAATATATAATCTCTCTTCTTCAGTTGTAATTCAGTATTCTAACGTCTCATCTGCTTTCCACTCCGGTTACACTATCAACATGTTTTACTCTTATTAAGTGAAGTAGGTAGTCAGTTAAAGTACGTTTAAATTATTCCACGTTCATTGCCTACACAATTTATTAAAAAATTTGTGCTCAGCTGATGAAAATTTTACGAAACAAAATGAATCACTACACTCCTGCAAATTCGTTCTCATCACTTTTTTGAAAATTTTCAACGGGACCGACTTTTTGACTTCTTGTCTCTTTTAAAATCTTCTTGTCCTGCGTGAGTTTTTACAACAAATGTTA